CCTCCAAGTCTGATCCTCCCGCCCATCATGTCTCCTGGGGACATGTTGGCGCTGGCGCCTTGTGTTGCCTGCTGCGTGCTGTGTGCTCTGTGTGCCCTGTGTGCCCTGTACTGTGACTATTACTCGTGTGGACACTACACTCCCCTCCTTCCTTGCTCGTCTCCTTATTACTGAAGACGCGCCCTGCTGTCTCTCGACGCGATTCACGTCCTGTCTGGACAGACCTGATACATGCTAGCAACAACCCCCTCGTTTGTGTCTCTCTGCCTGCTGCTCTTGGAGTTTCGGCTTGCTTAGAGTCTGCCAGGGCACCTCACCAAGCCGCATATCTTTGACTGCCTCAACACCCCCGGGCCTTGGGTAGTCTCTGATATCCCCCCCTGGTTCATTTCCTTGGTCTCTAGCTTGTCTATCATCCTCCATACTCGTTCATTCATCCTGACCCGAGACTCTCATATCCTCTTGTCAGCATCCTTTACAGCACACAACACTTAGACTCACTTACCAGCACGTCTACCCACGCCAAGGCCGCTCGCCGGCGGTGCCAGTCCACCGCTCCTTCAAGACAGCCAATGACGACCAGGGATGAGAGCATGAGACGGTAACACTGTTTCCCGCTCCCGCCTGTTCCCTCGCAGAGTTCCAGTATCTGGTCCGCCCAGCCTGTCGACCTCTCATTGGCGCTGCGCGTCTCATTGGATGAAAGTCCATGTCTGTCAAAATTTCTACTTTACAACACCCACGCCCGGGTCTCAGCTCGCCGGCTGTCGGCATGCCCTCCACCGCCGACGGGGCGGGCAATCCCCAACGTGTGTTGGACATGGAAACGCGACTAAAGGTAACAAACATGGCATAATTATAGCAACATCTGGTGAACAGGGGAGGGCAGAGACCAAGAAAAAGAGGGGCGAGGAAAGAGCCGGGTGACAAAAGGCGGAGGGTATCCTCAAATAAGCGCCTCGTCACCCCTCCTCCCTCTCTCAGGTCACACACACAACTCACCCACAAATACACACGCATATTCCAGCTTCCAGCCTGCAAGATCAGACCCCCCCTCAACCCCAGATTAGGATGAACAGGCTCTGACAATTTGACTTTCTGCTCGCGCCCACCACAGCTTTTCAAACTTGGCATTGGAAGAGTAGGTGACAGCACCCCCAACCTGCCGACCTTCACAACACCAGCATTCGAGCCTGCTCCGTCGCTGCAGGAGCGCCGACGCGACTCTCTGCCAAGGACGGACGACCCGGACCCGATGTTGAGGTCTTTCCGGAGGAGCATAACCGCCCCGCCCCTGTCCATCAACATCCCGCCGAACCGCGATGCCGCTCTGGTGGACAGCACAGGCGGCGGCGACGACGACGGCTCGGCCTCGGACCACTCCTCCATCTGCAACTCGCCTAGCTGGGAGGACTACGGCCGCAAGAAGGACAAGAAGAAGAAGAAGAAGAACCGCATGACGATGGACGCCTCGGCGCTGCTCAGCAAGCGCAAGAGCAAGGCGGCCGACAAGGACGCCGGCGCGAAGCCCTCAACCAAGCTCACCAAGGCAGGGGGAGGCCACCGCCAGTCGCTGCAGCTCCCCGCTCCTCCCGTGCCGCCCTTGCCGCTCGCGTCCCCGTGGAACAACAGCAACAACAACAGCGCACACGGCTCGGGCGGCATCATGAAAACGACAGACCTCCAGGTCGGGTCCAGCCCGCGCTCGGGCCTAGGCGGCGAGTTCGCCAACTACAGCAGCGCCCCGGCGGGCGGGAGTGGTGCGCCGCGCATTCCCATGCCCGCTTCCATGTCTGCAGGCAGCGGGCCGGGCGGCTCGGGCTTCGTCGGCGGCATCAGGCTCGAGCAGGAAAAGCAGGCCGCGGCACGGGCGGTCCTCGCCTCGCACTCGCAACCCCCTTCGCACCAACCGACTCCTTCGCACTCCCGCAACGGCTCCCTGTCCGTCTTCCCCAGCGTCCGCTCCGTCAGCCCGAGTCGGCGAGAGCAGTCTGTCTTCCCGGGACCGGCGCTGGATTCCAACAATCCACCACCGCCGCCGCCGCCGCCGCCGCCGCACCCGTCTCAGACGCAACCAAGAGGCCCAGGCGTCGCCAATATGCCTGCGCCCGTGCCGCCTCCCATGCTCCAGCACAGGAGCACACAGTCAACAAACATCATCCCGCCAAGCCATGCTGCAGACCAGCCTGTGCAACGCAACCTCGGTGCCCACGGGCGGAGCCAGTCGCTTCTCTCCGCCACCGCCTCCAAGATCTTCCACAAGCAGCGGCCATCCAGATCTTGCCAGCTGCCGTCGCTGCCAAACGGCGCCCAACTGCCGCAGCCCAGCCCTCTGCCGACCCCGTGGAATGGGTCCGTAGAGACCTATGCCGCTCATCAGCAGGCCGGCCAATGGGGCATGGCAAACCCCAACCAGGGCTATTTCCCTCCCCAGGTCGCCGCCGACTACACGGCCAGCCCCGACTCCATGACCGCACCGCCGCAGCAGTTCCAGTACACACACCCCCACCAGCCGCACCACGACGCCAACTCTTCTAGCTACGGCCAGCAAGGGTTTGTACGCAACCACGAACACATGGCATCGGCCGGCCCGTCCACGCCCGGAAGGTCGCCACAGCTCGCCTCGGCCAAGCCCGCCAGAGACGCGTCCGACTCGTCGTCGTCAGCCACCAGCCCGGGCCGCTCGTTCAAGGACAAGGCCAAGGCGATGCTCAACCGGACCTCGCTGCTCCCCCCGGCGCACCCCGCGCAGGACCGCCCCGCGAACCCGCCCGGGCCCACCATCACGGGCCCCTTCAACCCGCGAGGCACGGGCCCCTACTTCCAGATGAGCTCCGAGGACTACCACTCGAGCGATTCGTCCCCGTCGCCGTACGAGCCCCAGGCGTCGGGGGGCTCGTCGGTCTCTTCCCTCGACGACGCCTCGTCGCCGGCCACGACGCCCGACAGCTCGCGGCCCCAGTCGTCCAAGGACGTCCACGCCGTCGTCGGCGAGGTCGTCGCGCAGCAAGGGCCCGCCCACGACCCCGTCGGCGGCGGCGGCGCGCTGCCCCACAACGCGCGCGCCTTTCAGACCTCCTCGCAGGCGGGCACCATGGCCGTGGGGGCCAAGTCCGCCCCGCCGCGCCCGGTGCGGCCGCGGAGGTCGTCCAGCGGCTACTCTCAGCAGGGCGGCCACGGCTCCTCGCAGCCCGGCAGGAGCTACTGGGCCGAGCCCAACTCCGGCCCGGCGTCCGCAGCCCCCGCGCCGGGGGCGGGCGGCGCCAACGCCTTCATCGTCGACTTTGACGGCGACGGCTCGCTTGCTCCACCCCTACACCACCAACCCGCCGGACCGCAGCAGCAGCAGCAACAGCAAGCAGGCCAGCCAGGCACCGCGGCGGCCAGGGACGAGGTCGGGGAGGCGGCTGCGACGTGGCAGTCCATCATCGGGCTCGGCGGCGAGCCCGAGGGCGGCGACGACTCGAGCGGGCAGGCGTCGCACGAGGAGAGCGACGACTCGGCCGGCCGCGCCAGCACGAGCTTCCTGCCGCCGCTCAGGCACGAGCCCTTCATCCCGCCCAAGTCGCGCGCGCGCAAGAGCCGCGTGGTCCCCAGGGGTGGTGGTGCTGCGGGGTTTGCTCAACAGGTCGGCGACGGCACAGGCGCCGCCGCCGCCGCCGCCGCCGCCGACGAGCAGCCGCAGCAGCCCAGCAGGGCCGTCAGCAGCGGCGCGGCCTACCTCAAAGAGGCCAGAAAGTCCATCCACGCGCCCTCTCCCAACATGATGAAGAACGGAGGCGGCGGCGGCGGCGGTGGCGCCAGGATGTCCATCGGCCCGCCGCCGCCCGCCATCCCCAGGGAGCTGTTGCTGCGCACCCAGACCTTCCCACCACCCGGCGGCGTCGCTGCCGGCGGCGGGCCTGGGC